GCCGCCCCTCACCTGGCTCCCCTCCCGCTGCTTCCGTGGCCTGCGGCACCCCAGCTGCCCCCACTGGCCCTCTGTGCTGCTCAAGGGTCCCTGGGCCAGGTCAGGACAGCGCCCGCCTCCACCCACCCTCTGGAGCCTTCTTAGACTCAGCAGTCCCTCATGCCTTCCTCTTTTCAGAAATCTGGTGCTTTTCTGTAATTTTAAAGATAAATAGGACCCTAAGGAAAGACAGACCCCGTTTTCTCCGCGCCCTCCCCCAGCACCCTGCAGGCCACAGCGCTGAGGGCTGGAGCCCGTCGCCTGCACCAGCCCCGTCACGGTATCAGCAGGACCCACCTCTGGTGCTGGTACCTGGACCACTGAGGTTCACGTCACAGGGCGTGGAGCCTTCTTTCCCTTCTCTGACTCATTTTTCATGAGACTCTGCGTTCTCCAGAGTTGGCCCACTGGGTCTAAGGAGTGAACGCGCCCCTGGCTGGGAGCACGGTGCCCCATCGGATGCCAGGATCTGTGGGCTCACTGTGGCCTTCTCACTCTGCCAGGCCCTCCTCACCCAGGCACCGGCCAGAGAAGCTGCTCCAAGTCTGAAACCCAGGAACCAAGTCGGTCCCAGGACCCTGAGTCCTGCTTCCTCCTATTTGAGTGCAGTAAACCAGGGTCTGATGAACTTGGAAACCACACATGGAGTGGCAAGGAGTCCTCTTCAATCCTGCCTAAGTGGAGGGAGAGCTGGCCATGAGGTGTGACCTCCTGGCTGACCCACAGTCCTGTCCTGGGAGGACCCAATGCACTTCCAATTCACGGGCGGTGGCGCTGCAGCTGGACCTCACCTACCATGCATTCCTGTGGACTGTCTCCTCCTCCCCAGAGGCTCTCTGGGTGCCTCCGGGGTGGGGTGAGGGCCGTGGACTGTGCGTGGGGAGGAGGAATGTGCCCGTGTGGAGTCCCCCACAGAGGAGCGGCATGGGGTCGGTCTGGGAATGCCTTCCCGAGACCCTGTGCTCTCCCACCAGAGAGCTGTCTCCACACTTCCGTACTCTCCAAAACCTTCAAGATCTCTACCTCCGGACTCCTCAGGGAGGCGGGTCCGAGGCTTTCTCCCACGTCCTGCTCAGCGGCCTGAGGATTAACCCTTGCCCTGCTGCAGCCTGGCCTCTCGGTGGACAGGCCTGCCGTGCGCCTGGGTCTCACGCTTGCAGGACCGGTCATCTGCACACACTGCTGGGGTTCGTGCTCAACTTAGTAGTTAACTACACACAGCCACACTTTAGCTTATTATTTTAAATCAACTTTGCCTCTCTAAATAGGCTCTAAAATGCTCAAGGCAGTTTCCACTTTTCTGTTCCACAGCATTTAAAGATTTCCCAAATACACATTAGGACTCTTAACAGGGATAATATTTTTTAGCAGATGACCATTTTTCTTCTATGAACATGAACGGGTATTCTAATATGGTTCTGTTGTTCTAAGGTAAGCATAGGTTTTTGTGTGTTTGTTTTTGCAGGAGTATGTGTCCACGTTTTTAGTGGAAGTAGAACAATGCGATTTCTCTGCCAGCACAGCTGAGAGGCAGACTCCACGGCAGCTGCAACCGGGGGTGAGAGTGTCCACTCTGGCCTCAGGTGCGTGTGGACCTGGACGAGGGTTACGTAAACCAACAATAACACTCTCAGCCCCCAGCCGGCCGAATGGACCCTCCTCTTGGCCAAGGGCCTTCTGAGGTGCGCCTGAAAAACCAGTTTAGTGGCGTCGGGGGCGGAGGGGGAGGGGTGGACAGGCCACAGCATCCCCTCTCTGTTTGGAACTCAGGCACACGGGACTAGCCTCCACGAGAAAACGGAGCTCTTCAGGCCGACAGAGCGGACTCTGCAGCAGGAAGACGCCAAGCGTCAGCCTGATTCTGCACAGCGCCGCGTGACGGACAGCAGGCCCTGAAAGGGATCCGAGTACTTTATACCCAAGTATCTTTCTTTGGCATATTCTGACGTGACCCCACACAGCTGTCTCTTGCGAGAGACATCCGCATCCTATTGAGAATCCTTTTTTCCCTCTGCAGGGCTTTTCCCTGATCCAGAGGAGAATTAGCCAAGTACGGTGTCTTTTTGTCTGAGAAGAGCTCAAGGCTTCATCTGCAAGATAAAACCCTTGGTCTCCACGGCTCCCATCTGAACCCAGACATTCCTTTCCATTGATACCAGGGGTTTAGATAATAACTCTTTCAACAAATTGTCAATCAGAAAATCTGTAAATCTACCAGTGACCTGGAAACCCCCTTGCCACCGAGATGTTCTACTTTTCTGGACCAAACCAATGTGCCCCATACATGCACTGATGTCTCTGCCTGTAACTTCTGCCCTGAAAATGTATAAAGTCAAGCTGTAAACCAACGACCCCAGGCACACGTTCTCAGGACCTTCTGCTCCTCACATTGGCTCAGCATCAATCCCGGCCGATCGTTTACAGTTTGACTTTTTAGGTGGACAGTGAGAAGACTCTGGCTCTGCCTCTTTGCATGTCGAGAGGGAATTTCATGAGCTCATTCCTGAAGAGCACTCAGGGCCCATCAGGCATCAAATGCTGAACAGATGCTGTCTGGAGTTACTGTGGGGGCGCGTCACGTCAGGGCACAGGAGTTTAAAAGCACCACATGTTTAAAATTGTGCCCAAGTCCTTCCCCTTCCTTGTACCTGGAGCCCGTGGGTCCGTCTGTCCGGCTACAAACCTGGAAGAAAAGACCCGTCGGCCGTCCCGCCGCCTTGGAAGTCGGCTATGGGCCACTGGTGCAGAAGCAGCGTCTTCTCTTCCTCCTAAAGCAAAACAAGTAAACAACAAGTGAATACTTGAAAGTTGCGAGATAGTCTTTCACCAGGAGATAAGAAATCCCCGCTCGGAGCTACGTGTTCCTCTCCTTAAACTGTCTGCTGTTGCCACAAATGGCTGTCAATCAACCTGACACTGCCGGACCGGCCGCTGTAGCCCGCATTCTAAAGCAAACGATATACAGCCAACTAGCAGCTTGTATACTTTTAATGTAAATTCGTGGCAGACAACTCAGGAACTGCCTCTTCTTTCCCTTTAGAACCCCACTCGTAACTGCCTCTAATTGGAGCAAGCGTAGGGCCGCTTGGCCCAGGTAAACTCTCTACTCATTCTGATGTTGCCTCAGCTTCTTCCTTTTAGGCTGACATCATTTTGCTTTTGACTTTGCTACAGTAGGTAGCTAGTCGAAGGTGAGCAGGGCAGGAGGGGCCCCTCCACCAGGAACGTCAGCCTGTCTCTAAAATAACAATTGGTCTCAGCCAGCCCCAGGGAAAGGCCGTCTCCCAGGAGACAGAAAAAAGCCTAAACCAGGTGATGAGCAGCTTCCCAGTAAGATCTCAGGGGCTGGGCGAGGGGCTCAAGCTCTCACACCGAGAGGTAAATGGCAGTTTCACTGGTCTGCGACCTTCCTCTAGGGACACTCGACTGGAAAGGGAACACCTCAAGGAGCACATGTGCAACTCCAGTAAACACACTGGGCATGCGTCCCCTCCCGCGTGTGGGCAGCCACTGTACACCCAAGGGAAGCATCACGGGGACCCTGGAGGCCTGCCAGTGTACTGAGGCAGCCAGGCGGGAAGGGGTCCCCAGAGGATCTCTGAGGGCCTTCGCACGGGGAGGAGCCCGCCCCTCCTCTTCCCGGGAGAACCTGGGATTCCATCGGGGGGCTGAGAAGGGCACAGGCAGGACACGCTGTCACTTCACCGAGCGTCTGTTTCCTCTTTTCTTCCTTTCACCCCTTAAACGTTGCCTCACTCCTCACATTGTCTATGAGCCTCATCTTTTGTGGCAGTGTGACAAGGACCCTGTCTTTAGCTGTGTTAAGCAAAAGTCCCACCAAGTATGAAACCCCAAGTCAAAGGTTGAACCCCACACGTGATCTCCCCAATCCCCCGCGTGGCCCTCTTCCGAGAGTCCTTTCCTTCCTTCCTTTTCTGCTCTAAAGCTCTTTAATAAACGCTCACCCCTGCTCTAAGACTTGCCTCAGTCTCTCCTTTTGCCTTATGCTCCCCAGCTGAAGTCTTTTTTCTGAGGAGGCAAGAATCGAGGTTGCTGCAGCGCCCTGCGGGTTTGCCGCTGGGAACGTACTTTGGCGGTGCACGAGTCCGCTAGGTTCTGCGCTGACAATTTGGCTCTATCTAATTACAGATATTGCAGCTAATTTCTGAACTACTATGTCACAAAAAGTCTATGACGACTCCCCTAACATAACTGAGAGGTGTTTCAATGATATGAAACATCTAAGTTGGTTTTACGGTCTAAAGCAATGTGACGAAAAGCATGTCAAAGCCTCGGGGACGCCGCGAGAGCTGCACTCAGTTCACAGCTGTACACGCTGCACCGAGAAGGGTCTCCGTCAACAGTCCAACTTTACATCGTAAGGAACTAAAAACCCCAGCGGAAGGAAGGGCACAGACAGAACAGAAAAACAATGAAGAAAATCTACCGTTTAAAAGTCGGTTCTTCAAAAAGAGCAAAAAAATTGACAAGCCTTTAGCTGACTAAAGTAAGTGACGCAAGAGAAGACGTCACCGCCGGTGTCGGGGAGACGAAAGGGGTTGTAAGAAAGTCCGACGAGCCTTGGCGCACCAACAAATCAGACGACCTAGAAAAAATGAACAAACCCCTGCAAACACACCCAAACTGACTCAGGGAGAAATAGAAAATCTCAACAGACTCGTAATAGATAGATTAGCAATCAAAAGCCTCCTAATAAAGAAAAATCCTGGACTAGATGGCTTACCAGTGAATTCTACCAAACATTTAAGGAAGAATTAGCAGCAATCCATACAAACTCTTCAAAAATTTAAAGACAAAGAACCACTCCCAAGTTCACTCTATGAGGCCAGCATTACTCTCATACCAAATCCAGATAAAGACATCACAAGAAAAGAAAATTATGGACAATATTCCTTATGAATACAGACACAAACATCCTCCACAAAAGATTAGCAAATGAAATCCAGCAGCGTATTAAAAGATGACTCATATGACAAAGTGGGGTCTGTGAGAAAGGCAAGGGTGGTCCACTGCGCGCAGATCAGGGCTCAGCGTTAACACAACAAAGGAGAAAGCCTCGTGACCAGCTCAATGGATGGAGAAAAGGCGTCTGACAAAACCCAATGCTATTTCATGATAAAAACTCTCAGAAAACTCAAAATAGAAAATTCCTCAACACGATAAAGGGTCCCTATGGGAAGCCCACAGCTCGTGTCACATGCAATGGTGAGGCGGAAGCTCTCACTAAGAGGATCAGGACAGTCATGGCCCCCGCCGCTACTCCACACCACACCGGGGGCTCGAACCAGAGCTATCAGACAAAAACAAGAAATAGAAGTATCTAAATTGGAGAAGTGGTAAAACTCTCTCTACTCAGAAATGACATGATCCTATATATGGAAAATCCTTACAAATCTACAAGAAGGCTATTGGAGCCAAATAATGAATTCAGAAAAGTGGCAGGGCACAACAGTAAGCTGTGTTTTTATTTACCAGGAATGAAAAATCCCAAAAGGAAATTAGATAGAAAGTGCTACAGACTGAACTGTGTGCCCCCAAAATTCATCTCCTGAGACTCTACCTCCCACTGTGGTGGTCTCTGGAGACATGGCCTTTGGGAGGTAATGGGGTTAGATAAGGTCATGAGAGTGGGGTCCCCACGATGAAATCAGCATGCTTTAAGAAGAGACACCACTGAACCCAGGAGGCGGAGGTTGCGGTGAGCCGAGATCGCGCCATTGCACTCCAGCCTGGGTAACAAGAGCACTCCATCTCAAAAAAAAAAAAAAAAAAAAAAAAAAAAAAAAAAAAAAAAAAAAAAAAAAAAAATAAAAAAAAAAAGGAGAAAAAAAAACAAAGAAAAAAAAAAAAAAAAAAAAAAGAAGAAACACCAGAGACCCTGCTGTCTCCTCCTGTGTGCCACGTGTGCCACATGAAGGCACAGTGAGAAGGCGGCCGGGCGTCGGTGGCCAGGAAGACGTTCTCCACCAGAACCCAGGCACGCCGGCACCCTGATCCAGACTTCCAGGTCCAGACTGTGAGAAATAAATTTCTGTTGTTTAAGCCATCCAGTCTGACCACTCCCATTCATCACAACACCTTAAAAAAGTTAAGTACTTGGAACATCCAGTATTTTGTTACGGCAACCAAGCTAAGACAGAAAGCACTCCCATTCATCACAACACCTTAAAAAAATTAAGTACTTGGAAATAAATCTAACCAAACAGGTGAAAGACTTATATGCTAAAAGCTATAAAATGTTCCTGAGAGAAATTAAAGATCTAAATTAATGAAAAGCTAACCCATATTCATGGATAGGAAGCTTTAACAGTGTTAGAATGTCAATACCACGCAAAGCAGTATTCAACACAATCCCTATGGGTTCCAACAGTCTTTAAAAAAAAAAAAGTCTACAAAATGATCCTCAAATTCATATGGAATTGCAAGGGACCCCACAGAGCCAAAACAATCTTGAAAAAAAAAAGCAGAATTGGAGCACCCACACTTTTCAGCTTGGAAACATATCACAAGCTACAGCCGCTCAAACAGCACTGGCAAAATGATGCCCATTTAGGCCAGTGACACAGACCAGAGAGCCCGACAGAAAGCCTTGCATTTCTGGTCAAATTATTTTCAACAAGGGTGCCAAGAACATTCACAAGAGAAAGCACAGTCTCTCCAAGTGGTGCTGGAAAAACTGGATATCCACAAGCAAAAGAATGATGTTGAACCTTTACCTAATACCATATGCAAAAATTAACTCAAAACAGATCAAAGAGCTAAACTCAAGAGTTGAAGCTACAACATTCTTAGAAGAAAATCATAGAGAACCTCCTCAGGTATTGGATGTGGCCATGACCAGGGATGTGACACCAAAGACGAGGCAACAAAGGAAAAAACAGACAAACTGGACCTCTAAAAAATCAGGAGCATTTATGCATCAAATGCCAGGATCAAATGAGTGAAAAGTTAACCCAGAGGATGTCTGCTAAGGGACTGACATGCAGGCTCTGTCCTGAGGCTCTCTGACCACGTACCCCGCTCCGTCACAGCCCTCACCATCCACAGGACCTTTCACAGGGCCCTGCAGGAGCCGCATGAGTCAGCCGGGATTCTTGGTCACAAGCAGTAAAAATCTACTCTGGTCTTCCTGGGCAGCACCAGGGGGAGGCCAAGCCCAAGGCCAGGAAGCTACATCTTGCCCGCACGCGGGATGGCAGGCTGGCAGGGCGGCGGGCCGGGCAGAGCAGCCTCAGCTGGCCTCTGTGCTCTCCACTCTGGCTCCAGAGGCAGCTCTCCATAGAGCTCAGATCTGAGCTTTCTGGGGGAGCCAGCCTAGGAGGGTCCCTCTGCCAAGACCACATTGGATGAGGAGGCACTCCCCAGGAGGAGGCCAGCATGGGAGAGAGGCTGGGGTGGGCTGCACAGCCCAGAGGCCCCGACATGGCCTTTTCAGAGTCAGGCCAAGAAGCTGCGTGGGGCGTGCATCTGAGGATCCCAGGCAGTGGCTTCCGTGGCCCTGCCCGCCATCTGTGCCTGCTGTCCGATACCCCACTCCCCTGTCCTCCTCCCACTGGAGATTTGGGTTATGGGGCTCTGCTTCTTGTAGAATGGGCCCTTTTTATGGGCTCTCTGTGGCTGACTTCTGATTCCTGGTTAGAGCCGAGGCCGGCAGAAGAGAGCTCAGAGTGGGCTGGTCTGGCTCAGCCCTGGTCTGAAGACTGACCCAACCCTCGAGTCTCAGCCTCTTCCCAGGAAGAGGGAGCTGCCTCCTGTCCCCCAGCAGGGAGCTGCGCCCACAGACCTGTGAGCCCAGGAGCACGAAGCCGTCACCAACTCCAGAGCCTGCTCGGGAAGCCCAGTCCATAAGGCAGAGGCTTGTCCTGCTGGCCTGTGCCCACGGAGGAGCCGGCCAGGCTCCTGCTCTTGGAGAGGCCTGCAGGACCCACCCCAGCACCCACGCCCAGTCTCCTTCTACAGCCCTAGGAGATGCACTCCTGAGTTCACGGGGCTCCTCCCTGGGTTGCCCCATCCCCTAGGCCTTGAGGGTTCTGCTCCCCACCACCCCACTCTGCCCCAAGCCACCAGAGGCCCAGCCCCCGCCCCACCCTACCCTCTGCTCGCCGTTCCTCAGGGCACCCTCTCTCACCGCAGGTGGGGCCTGTGCCCCCTGCCTAGAATCCAAGCCCCTCAAGCAGCGATGGTGTGGGCCTCGCTCCCCCTCCCCTGCTGTGTGTCTCCAGGGCTGAGAGCACCTCGATGCATGTGTGTTGCTGGGGGAGGTCAGAGCTGAGCACTGAGCCCAGAAGGGGCCCCCGCAGTACTGAGCTGAGGACCCCCCTTCACTCCCTCCCCTCCTTGGCTGGCGCTGGTGCACCCCGTGGGAGGCCTGTGGGGGCTGTCTGTCTGCCTGTGGGAGTCTCCCCAGTCCTTTCCAAAAGACCCGCTGGAGGCCTCAGTGGGAGCCAGGGGCCCCCTCCAGGCCTGACGCACCTGCTTTCTGGCCTCTGTCCTGTTGATGATGCGGATGAGCCTCTGCAGGGCACCCTGGGCCTTCTTCCTGTACACTGCCGAGGACAGGAGTGGGAGCCAGGCATTCCAGTAGTGCCGCGCGGCCAGCATCACCAGGGTGCTGCTGCCCGCGATGCCTCCAAATCTGAAAGAGGCAAGTCGTGACGCGGGAGCTCCGCCTGGGCCCAGCTGGAGCTGCTGGACCAGGAGGGACGGGCCCGTCCACACGCTTGCTCCCTCCCGGGCCTGTGGCTCGCTCAGGCATCCCTGCTGCGTCCTCTGCAGTGGGCCTTTCTGGGCAGCGCAGGGCCAGACCCTCGCCAAGGCCAGGCTGTAGGAGCCCAGGCCCCACAGGCAAGAGGGGGCCACCACACCTCCTTGAAGACTGCACCCGCCCTGGCCACGCCGTCCACCCTGCCCCCGCTGGTGGGAGCCCTCCCTTGGACCCACAGAACAGCCACAACCTTGGTGAGCACAGGGTCCCGCACGACAGCGGAGTGTCAGAGGCCCCACAGTGCCACCCCAGCTGCTTCACAGCCGCACACCTGGCGCTCTCCATGAAGGCCTTGGCCGCCACCAGCCGCAGCTGCTTCTGGCCCTTCAGGTTTTCCATGATGCTCCTGCCCTGGACAACCGCGGCCGTGCACAGCATCTCCGCCACCAGCTGGGACTCCACGCTGCAGGACACAGGGCCAGTGAGGACACGATGGCCCACCCTGGGCCCCCTCTCCCTCCCTGGGTCACTGTTGTTGGCCTGTGGCCTGCATAGGTGGTATCTAAGATGGGGCATCTCCTGGCCCAGAGCACACGTGCACAGGGCTCTGCCCTCCCTGAAACCAAGCCAGCCTCAGGGACTCGCCAGACTGCAGGGACACAGGGCAACTGGCCCCTGGCTTTCTAAGACCTGGAGCGCCCACGTGTGGCCTGAGCGCCAGAGAGAGCCGCCTGGGGTTGCTCTCAGAACCATGGAGCTGGGGTCACGTGGCAAGGGTGGGCGTGGGCTGTGGGGACATCCAGCCAGTGGACCCTCAAGACTGTGGCCCCAGCTGACTCTCACAGTTACCTCATGAGATGCCCCAACCCAAAACAAACCGGCTGTGTCCAGGCAGCCCCCAGAACCACGGGGCAGAATCATTGACTGTTTTTTTTAATGACTGTCTTTTTAACTTTTCAGGGGACTTGGCAGAACAGATCCACAGAACCGGCCCCTCTTTTGGGGCCCCTCCGCTCTACAGGCTCTGCTGCCCAGGCGCTCATGGAAGTCTGGCCTCAGAAGGTCCACTCTGCACCCAGAGCTCTGCCGGACACACACTCCTAGGTGTCACAGCAGCATCGGCTCCACGGCTCCTCGTCCTTGGATGGTGGCTGCCGCAGGGCTGCCATGGCTGGGACCGCAACGTCACATGGGCAGGGGGCACACCCACGAGGTTCAGCTCAGAGGAGGCACCGAATTGATTCCGTAAAAAAGATGCTGGTTCACAGGTAGACCCCCTTCACGGGCCAGGGGGCCAGAGCCAGGGATCTGCCTGCAGGAGCATACAGCCATGTCTGCCCCTCTGCCCCGACGGAGTCAAAGGAGGATGGCCCTGCCCCTTGGCCCATGCAAGCCGGTGGTCTGAGGCTGAAAACACCTTCTAAGGCAGGCATGGCGACCTAGCAGCCCAGAGAGGAGAGTTCAGTCTCCTGGGTACTGACTTTTGATCCACGTTACGCAGTTGCTGGGTGTTCTATAAATGCTGATGAGTGAGGACTGGTCCTTCCGTCTGTAGCCCTGCTGTCCTGTCAGCTGCTGAGAGAGGAATGGGAGACGTATCCATATTTTGCTTCCTGTATTTCAAGCTCTGCTATTAGGTGAACACACATTTAGCATTATGTTTTCTTGGAGATATATCAACCTGGGAGCGCCTGCCTGGGCTGTTTAACATTGCCACACCAGCTTTCTTGTGGCTGGTGCCTGCACAGTGCCTCTCTCCCATCCTTTTACCTTTAACCTGGGTCTCCACGTTTCAAGAGGGTCTCCTGTACGCAGTTCATCACCGGGTGTCGCTCCTACAGTCCGCGGGATAAACTCTGCAGACGTCCTGTACGCAGTTCATCACCGGGTGTCGCTCCTACAGTCCGCGGGATAAACTCTGCAGGCGTCCTGTATGCAGTCCATCACCAGGTGTCGCTCCTACAGTCCGCGGGATAAACTCTGCAGGCGTCCTGTCCGCAGTCCATCACCGGGTGTCGCTCCTACAGTCCGCGGGATAAACTCTGCAGGTGTCCTGTACGCAGT